CCCCAAAACCCCAAAACCCCAAAACCCCACATCTCCCAAAAAGCTGAACCTAGTCAATAATTTAGCCATATCTATCATCATTTTTACTTTCTTCATCTTTCTGTATCATATAACTAGCCACTCTTCCATATTCACTTTTTTGTGCCAAATTTAAATGTCCATTTGAAAGCGTTTTGGAAGCATTTGGTTTCTTCAAACTATGAAAGTGTCCACTCATGTAAGCCTTGTATCGATCTAAGAGTCTTAAAAATAACTTACTAAGAATTTGATGCTTTGTACTGTCTATTTGAGTGTTAGGCAACACATTGTGAGGCAGAATGGCACAGTCTTCTTGGTATTTCTGAAGCATTATCTGTTGCTCTTTCTTTGCTTTGGCTTCTTCTGACTCCACTCTGTAATGGAGTTCTTCATAGCTCTTGTTTTCTAAAAGGTAATAGGGTAACATACTGATTGCCTCTTGGTAGTGAGAGTCGTTGGAAAGTAAATATTCTACTTTGCTTGTAAGATTTCTGATCGAAAAAGTCAGATTTGTACTATCCAAAGCTTCGTTGTATTGCTTGATAAGCTTATTTGTATTCAGGTTCGGGAGACCCGACTCCGACTAAGTAGTTGGTTTTGGCTATATGATTTGGTTAAGGATTGAGTTGATTATGAAATGATTTAATCTATTTTAAGAATTTATACCTTTACTCTGCTCCTGATTTTGCTCCTGTTGTTGTTCGTGATATTGCTCCTGGTGTTGCTCCTGATGTTGCTCCTGATGTTGCTCTTGATTTTGCTCTTGGCCACTTCTTTCCTCATCTCCCTCATCTTCCTCATCATCGGAGTTACTTTCTTGATTACTATTGTTGTTACTATAAAGCTTCTTACTTTAATTTAAGTTCCTCTAAGACCTTGAGTTGATTATGATACACCTTTTCAGCTTTTTGTAGGTTCTTGAAGATTTCTTGATTCAATGCTCTTGAAGATAGCCAACCAATGATAAAGCCTCCGATAATTTCATAAATTTCAAAGATTCCTCCGAGTTGCCCAGTTACTTCTAAGAAGTCAGTAACTCTTCTCTCGTAGAAGGTCTGCTCATAGTCCAGAGCGATTGTTCCTTTAAGTATAGGAAAATACTCTGGTAGTTGTCCTGGCGAGGATGCTAAAGTTCCTTCCAAATATTGATTACGTGAAACCTTTTCAATAGAGTAAAAGTCTCCTTCTTCTTCAGATGACCAAGGAAGGAACCCATCCTTCTTAGTATATTTGTTACTCCGAACCTTCATGTTTATTTCGCTCAAAAACTGAGAATCAGGCATTGAAACATCTTCGTATTGGAAATAATTTTTAATCGGGTCATCGATATCCTGAAAGTCGAAAAACTTATTATCAATAATGAATTGCATGGTAGATCTGAACATATATTCATTCATTATTAGACGATCTGATATATTAACTTTAGAGGTATTTATGCCAACTCTTAAATTCAAAATTTTCTTATTTATTATTACCAACATCTCCTTGTAGCTCAAATCCAGACAAATTCAAGCAACGAAATTCAGATTTCAATCTACCTAATTTCAGATGATCAGGGAATGAAGTATCATTGCATTCTTCGAATGGAAATTCAGCTATTGAGACAATAGGTGATTCAGGGTTTGATAAATCAATGACTTCATAATCTACCCAGGCTTTGAGAACTTCAGATCCTGGGTAAAAGTTTGATCCATCTAAACTCTCATTATAAGAACTTTCTTGATCATACTCATGAATAGTGCCACTAATAGGAAGAAGGGAGGTTTATCACTCTGAGGTTTAGATGAAAGATGCTGAAAATAGTATAAAATAGAGGTCTGAGAATCAAAATTCCTTACAAATATTGAAGAATAAAAATATGTACTTTAAGAATCATCGTACCTGCATTGATTACGTTCGAAGATGCAGGAATATATCTCCAAGCAATAAATGGCCCTTCTGTTAACTTGATTCCATCTGCCAAAGTACCTTTATTTGAAGTGTCAGATTCTACACAATTGCTTTGAGTTGATCATTGTGAATCTTCTTGCCCAGCAATATTCATGAGATCAGCTTTGATTGTGCTATAGTTGTTAATCTCTAATCCTACTTTATGTTTGCTGTGATTTCTTTTCTTTTAAACATGGACACGAACAAGACAGTTCCATAAAACAAAAGCCCGGTCAACACCATCAAGAAAGTACAACCACCAATAAACGAACTATACCTATCACTCCCATTATGAGTGAGACATATTTTATGGTTAAAAATATCTTTAGCCTTGATCTTTTCAGAGACCCAATCAATAAGTCTCATACCTGGACTTCTCATACTTAATATTATACTAAAATTCAATCTATCTCTTATATTCTGGGGTTTTGGGGTTTTGGGGTTTTGGGG